GGAGGAGGAGGAGGAGGAGATTGGATTTATATCCCACCCTTCACTTGGAGTCTCAGAGCAGCTTACAAACTCCTCTCCCTTCCCCTCCCCACAACAGACACCCTGTGAGGTGGGTGGGGCTGAGAGACACAACTGCTCTTTTTCAAGGACAGCTGTGCCAGAGCTTGTGACTGACCCAAGGTCACATCAGCAGGTGCGAGTGGAGGAGTGGGGAATCAAACCCGGTTATCCCGGATTAGAGTCCGCGCACTTAACCACTACACCAAACTGGCTCACCAAACTGAGTTCTTATATTGCATGCAGAAGTGACATCATCATGTTTGGTGTCGTGGTTAAGTGTGCGGACTCCGATCTGGGAGGACCGAGTTTGATTCCCCACTCCTCCACTTGTAGCTGCTGGTGTGACCTTGGGTCAGTCACAAGTTCTCTCAGAGCTGTTCTCTCAAGGGCAGTTCTTGAAGGAGCTCTCTCAGCCCCACTTACCCCACAGGGTTTGTGCGGTGGGGAAGGGAAAGGGATTGTAAGCCGCTCTAAGACTCCTTTGGATAGTGAAGGGCAGGGTATAAATCCAATATCTTCTTCTCTTCTTCTTCTTCTGACATTGGGGGTGACGCTCTAGGTTTTGGGCAAAACTCTGTGGGTTTTTGGGGCCTCAAAACCATAGAGTTTTACCCAAAACCTAGAGTGTCATCCCTGACACTGGGAACAAGATTATGTCACTCCCAGGTGATGTCATCGCACTGGCTCTGGTGGTGCTGGGAGGGGGTTCTCTGGGGTGGGTTTCCCCTGCTGGCTAGCTGGGCTGCAGCAGATCAGGGGCCCTCGATATCGAAGGATCCCCTGACCCCACTGGGGGAATGTCAACCCTCGCCTCTCTAATCCCGTTTCGAAAGCCATCCAAGATAGTAGACATGAATGCATCCATCGGGACTGAATTCCAAAATTATGCAAAGAGTAAACGAGTGCCTTGTCTGGTCCAAGTCTACCGCCCACCAGCTTCATCTAGCGCCCCCTAGTGTTCTGGGGGAGAGGGAGAAAAAACGTAGCACTGCGCTCAAAGATCAGAGTGAAAATATCTCATGTCTCTACCAGCCGTACCGAGGAATGCCTGGGACTCGGGAGAGCTACTGCCAGTCAAAATAGACAACACCAGGCCTGACCAGGCTAGCCTGATCTTGAACATGAGGTTGCCGTATCAGATCCTGGGTCCATTAAGGTCACTATTGTCTACTGATACCAGCAGCGGCTCTCCAGATCTTTCACATCTCCTCCTGCCTGGTCCCTTTTAACTGGAGATGCCGAGGATTGAACCTGGGATCGTCTGCGTGACAAGCAGAGGCTCTGCCACTGAGCCAAAGCTCCTCCCTCATCAGATCTCAGAAATTAATCAGGGTTGGCCCTGTTTAGGAATGGATAGGAGATCACCTAGGAAGACCATGGTTGCTACGCAGAGGCAAGTGATGGCAAACCATCCCTCTTAGCCTGCTGCCTCGGAAACCGTATGGGATCACCAGAATTCAGCTGCGAGTTGACAACGCTTTTGCACTGCCAGTCTAGGTGGCTTCCGAAATTATGTTATAGTCTTCTGAAAAGGGGAGGTTGATTAAAATGGTTTGGCGTGTGACTGGAGTTGTTTGAATCATGGGCAGAGTAAACCAATCGACCAGAGCCAGAGGCTCCCAAAATTATTTGGCCTTCCGCCCCCTTTTCAGAAAAAAAAAACTCAACGCCCCCCCCCCCGGATGTCTACCTTCAAGAAGTGGACAAAAAAGATGCAGTTTGTGGATCTTCACCTGGATTGTTCCAGTGCCTCCCAGGGGGCGGTATTGCCCACTTTGGGAACCAGTGAACCAGAGAGATGAAACTGGAATGCTCTGTTGTCAAGCTTCACTTCCTCTATAGCTCCCTCAGTAAGGAGATTCATTGGTGGTCTTTTCCCTAAGGCCAAATCCTGAAGGTTGTAGCTGTACACATGGGGCGATTCTGCATCTAGCATTCGCTCCACATTTTCTCAACTGGGAGGGGAAAGTGCAGCTCAAAACCACATTCAAATACCTCGGGGCAACGTCGTACTGACTGCGAAGTCACCCCTGAGTGGCCATAAAATGGCCATAAATCTATGCAGAAGGTACCATAAAATCCGATGATCAACAAAAGCGAAAGCCGCATGGAGTGTGGAGGCTACCATAAAATGTGATGATCAAAGGAAGTGAAAGCGGCATGCAGTGCAGGGGGGAATTTCTGCCCCACCGTGGGTTTGCTAAAACAACAGAGGGGAAAAGCCAATGCGGAATCAGCCATGGTTGTTCCCTTGGAACCTTTCAAGAGGGAGGCGGGATCTCTGCATCTGTCCCCCAGAATTCTAGCTGACAAGGTTGGAAACCTTAAATATTGAAAGCCCCTTCTCAAACTGGATGTCCCAACATCGACATCTCCTCTATCGCATGCATTTGAAAAGAATTTTAGCCGTTAGAGAAACATGAAATTAATCTGTGGCTCTTAAGGTTCCATAATCAGGGCTCTTTTTGTAGCAGGAACTCCTTTGCATATTAGGCGACACGCCCCTAATGTAGCAATCCTCCAAGAGCTTACAGTAGCCCCTGTAAGAAGACCTCTGTAAGCTCTTTGGGGATTGGCTACATTAGGGGTGTGTCACCTAATATGCAAAGGAGTTCCTGATATAAAAAGAGCCCTGCGTGACAATCTATTTTGAGAAGCGGATTGAGCAGCGAAAGAGTGGGTGGCTCACACAGGATGGAGACAGCTATAACTTTGGGAAAGCGAAATGAGGGCAATTTAGGCCGCCAGAGAACAGAACAGCCGTCTGAACGGTGCCTTTGCCAAGTCTTAAAATGACGCGCTCACTGTTGCTCACTGTCTGTAAAGAGCAGGTCCAGCTTGAGTTGGAAATCTGCTTCACTGACGGCCTCTTCCACCTATACAGACAGGAGGGGGGGGGGAGAAATCTTCCATTACAAACCAGCTGACACGGGAAAGAGAGAGACGTCGAGGAAAGTGCGATGGAACACAACCTGGAGTATGAGAGATTTATTTATTTATTTTCCACATTCGTGTCCCGCCCATCCAGTAGACGGGCTCAGGGCGGGCCACACCATTCCAATAAATCCTATAACATTTAAAACACATTAAAACATATGAAAAACAGTAGTCACGCTCGCCACAGGGAAAATCTGGCCCATTGATGTAACTAAGTATGGCCGGCAGTGATCCCTCTAAGCTGAGTTAATGTGAGCTAGCTCACAGTTTTTTGGCCTCCAGCTCACAGATTTTTGTCTTAGCTCAGGAAGGATGGAGTTCCAGAGCAAACTAATTTATGCAGTAGCCAAATCACTAGCTCACAATTTTAATGCCAGTAGCTCACAAAGTAGAATTTCTGCTCACAAGACTCCACGGCTTAAAGGGAACATTGATGGCCGGTTATCAGTGGGTGGGAGACAGCAACCTCGAGGGTGTGTGTGTGTGTGGATGCCCGCTCCCTCAGCCAAAGGCCTGGCGGAAGAGCTCCGTCTTGCAGGCCGTGCGGAATTGAATAAGATCCCGCAGGGCCCTGATCTCAATAGGGGGCATGTTCCACCAGGTGGGGGCCAGGGTGGAAAAAGCCCTGGCCTTGTTCGTGGCTAGGCAGACGTCCTTTGGGCCAGGGATCACCAGGAGATGTTGATAGGGTTGCCAACTCATAAATAATCCACAGCGGGGGGCTCCCGGCTTACTCCGGGAGCGCAGGTGACGTGCTGACGCCGAGCACGTCCCGTGCTTTGGGGGTGGGGTTCCCCCCAGGGCCCGATCCACCGGCGGCGGGGAACGGGGGACTTGGCAAACCTAGATGTTGACTCTCAGAGCGTATATGGGAAGAGGCGGTCCCTTAGGAATGTTGGTCCCAGGCCGTATAAGGCTTTGATCTCTCAAAGGGCCCTGATAAACCACTAAACATTTACTTGAATAGCCCCGACTAGCCTGAGTTCATCAGAGCCTGGAAGCTAAGCGGCAGTGCCGGATTTACGCATAAGCTAAATAAGCTACAGCTTAGGGCCTCCCAATCTGCTGGGGCCTCAAATAAAAACACAATATAAAAATAATTTCAAATATTAAAAAGGCGTATATATTTTAAATTTTTCTGAGACCAGCTGATGTAATTTAAAACAGTAGGGGGCCTCTGGGTTTTGTATAGCTTAGGGCCTCAGCAAGTCTAAATCCGGCCCTGCTAATCGGAGTCAGTTCTGGTCAATATTTGGATGGGAAGACCACCAAGGAAGACCAGAGTTGCTATGCAGAGGAAGGCCACGGCAAAACCACTTCTGCTCAGCTCTTGCCCAGAAAGCACCATTCTGGTTCCTTGCATCTGACTGCATCCCGGGGAGGGGGGGGGGAGGAAATACCTCACCCTTTCACCATCCAAGAGAAGGTGGACTTTGAAATTCATGCTTTCGTTGATGACAATCTCTTCGTTCCTGTACAGGATCTGGAACACTCTGCTGTAGACACTGTTCTCACGGACGCAGGCTGAACAAAGGATGGATTCACCTGCAAGACAGAATCACGAACAGTGGCATGCAGGTTAAGTTAACTACATGCTAATTACAGACCATCTTTGCCTGACATTCCAACATCCAGGGTCAAATAGAGCAGGCGTGTCTAACTCATTTGTTATGAGGGCCGGATCTGACAGTCAGTTTGGTGTAGTGGTTAAGTGTGCGGACTCTAATCTGGGAGAACTGGGTTTGATTCCCCACTCCTCCACTTGCACCTGCTGATGTGACCTTGGGTCAGTCACAAGCTCTGGCACAGCTGTCCTTGAAAAAGAGCAGTTTGTGTCAGAGTTCTCTCAGCCCCACCCACCTCACAGGGTGTCTGTTGTGGGGAGGGGAAGGGAAAGGACTTTGTAAGCCGCTCTGAGACTCCAAGTGAAGGGCGGGATATAAATCCAATCTCTTCTTCTTCTTCTAAATGAGACCTCGTTGGGCCGGGCCATGTGTGTCATAAAATGTAATGCCAGGTAGTGGAGATATAAACTTTATAAAGGACACAAACACAAAGGGTGAGGGGTTTTTTACTTAAAATAAAAACATGCTTAAAACGTTAGCACTCTTGCAATATTTTGTTTATCCAACGGTGTCTGATAACGGACACCTCTTGCTGTGAATTACTGCATCAAAATGTCTGTGCTGTTGCAATCTTGAGTATGCTGTTCAGGTGTGTATCTCTAAGCTGCAAACCTACAATGACGCAGCAGCAGCCGAACTGGAAGAAGAAGCAGAAGACAGCCAGTTTCACTGTGGGCCTGATAGAAGCCCTCCGGGGGCCTGATCTGGCCCCCAGGTGGCATGTTTGACACCCCTGAAATAGAGCTTATTGTCCATTCATTTACACTCACCTATTTAGGTTCTTAGTAGAAAGATGTTCCAGAGAAATTTGCTGCCAGAGGATGCAGTGATGTCCAGAGGTATAGTCAGCTTTAATGGGGGAATTAGAGAGATTCACGGAGGATAGGTCAATCAGTGGCTACTAGCCACGGTAACTAAAGGGAACCTCCAGTTCCAGGGGGCAGCATCAGGGGAAGGCATTGGCTTCTATGCCCTGTCATTGGCCTTCCACAGGAACTCGGCCGCTGTGAGATACAGGATGCTGGACTAGATGATCCTACAGGGACCCAATTAGTACCAGCTGTCCCTAAGCCACTGACTAGCTGTGAAAATTAGTCCCAAATTTGCCAAATCCACCTGTGTCATAAAGAGAAATTGTTCGTCTTGTTTATGAAGAGAAGCCATGATTCGCTTTATAATGATGTTTGTATCGTTGGCAAGTCCTTGTAGGATCAAACAATCATCTTTAGAGAGATTGTATCGGGTCCTTTTAATATTTGCTCTAATTTGTTTCAGTCTCACGAGTAACAAGTCTTTCAAATGTCTGACTAGAAGGATGTTGGTATGAAACAGGATTTAGGTCTGAAACGATTATACTCTCCAACTGGGATATGCTCAAAAAACTTCTGTTTTTTAAACTTTAGGGATCTAAATAATTTAAAGAGGTCTACCCTGGTTTGAAAAGGGTTATATCTGGGGGGGGGCACATATCCCAAACCTAGACTTAAAATACAGTGTTCTGCGATCGTAAGTATCCTAGAATATAACTTTATATTTGGATTTTCCTCCTGCCTCTGCGGTCGGGGCAGGAGTGAAACGATTCTTAGCACCATGTCTGGTTTCTCTTTCGGGTGCAGGTCTATGAGGAATGTTTTCCTCCCCCGAAGTTGCTGACTCTTCCCCACCTGGGGTCTCCACATCAGAGAGACCAGGAGTATCGGCCTATGGCACCCTTTTATTTTTAATCGAGCCAGAAACATACCACTTATAGAGTCTTGCAGGGACGGATTAACCATTAAGCAGACTAAGCACGTGCTTAGGGCACCAGGGCCAAAGGGGGCACCACAAAGTTGGGGAAAGGGTGAAAAGAAAAGGGGGGAAAAACAAATGAAGATTTGTAAAACGCTTGGCTTAGTTTGTACAGTTTATTGTGTTATCCTATGAATAAATTTTTGTATTGCTGCAACCTGCATTGTATATCTGGTCAGACAGGTCAACAACTATAATGGACTGGGTCAGTGTGGAAAGGAGGGGGGCACCGAGATTGGTCAGTGTTTAGGGCACCAGTGAGCCTTAATCCGCCCCTGGACTCTTGCCTGCAAGTAGTCTTTATAATCCCTTTTGTGTTTTTTTAAAGCTCTTTAGTCGCATTCTCAAAAGATTTTAGTTCTTCCTGTAACCCCTTGACCCGATTTTCAAAAACACCCATATGATGAGAACTCCTGAGTTTCTCTTCCAATGTGTCCATTTCGACCTGAGACCTTTGTGTTTCCTGAGCCTCCTGGTCTATTAATAATAACATTAAGTAATACAAACACTTATTTAAGATGGACATCCATTTGAAACAAAATTCCTCATTCTCAGCAAATAAATAGTAATAATAATAATCATCATCTTTCAATTTATTAATCACTCAATCCTGCAGAGCTTGCTGGCTCTGAGCGATTTACATTTTCTCATTCATGCGGGACTAACAATGATTTATGGGGGTAAGGGAGGAAAACATATATCTTTTAAATCACACACATTCACAGTCGGCGAGAGTTTGTCCAGCTGCAGGGTCAGACGTGTTCCCTCAGCATATTCACTTCGGCTCGGCTAGATGACGTCAGCTTCTCCAGGTCTTGCAGCACTGCCACCGCCTGGCTGGAACGGCCCATTACAGGCTTCTCGGAGCCGAAGAGATTTTTTTCTTAGGCTTTAAATCTCGCGAGTTGAGCATTCCGGTCACCGGCTAACACCTCCCCCACCGGGGGGGGGTCTTTGGTGTGCCCACCCTCTCTAAGAAGTGGTACCCATTTTATCTACTCGCCGAAGCTTTCGAACCGCTGGGTGGATGGTGAGCTGGGGACAAGGCTGGTAGCTCACACCAACACGGGGCTAGAACTGACAGATGTACTGTTCAGCTCAGATGTTACTAACCAGAGGATAAATCCTCTGTGCCACCGCTCCCTGAAAGTGGACCCTTCTGCATTCTTAGACCATGAGGTACCTTACCTTGGGTCAGTCACAAGCTCTGGCACAGCTGTCCTTGAAAAAGAGCAGTTTGTGTCAGAGTTCTCTCAGCCCCACCCACCTCACAGGGTGTCTGTTCCTCCTCCTCCTCCTCCTCCTCCTCCTCCTCTTCTTCTTCTTCTTCTTCTTCTTCTTCTTCTTCTTCTTCTTCTTCTTCTTCTTCTTCTTCTTCTTCTTCTCCTCCTCAACTCGACAATAGTAGGTCAGTGATGCAGCAGGCAACACTACTCTTATTTGCTTCTTCTGTGATGGTGATGTGAAAGAGATCGGTCTGAGACCCCAGAACGCTCCTGCTGGTCTGAATAGACAATGCTGAATTTGATGGACCAATGGTCTGGTTCAGTACAAGGTGGGTTCATGTCTTCAAGTGTGTTCCTTGCTTTGGTTTGAAAAACACAGCCCCTGGGTATCTAGCAGCCATCTGGTGGTGTCATTGCTGCCAAGTGGTATAGTGGCGGACTCTAATCTGAAGAACCGGGTTTGATTCCCCACTCCTCCACACGAAGCCTGCTGGATGACCTTGGGCCAGTCATAGCTCACTCAGAACTCTCATAGAATCACAGAGCTGGATGGGGTCATAGAGGCCATCTAGTCCAGCCCCCTGCTCAATGCAGGATCAGCCTAGAGCATCTCTGACAAGGGTTTGTCCAGCCGCCACTGAAAGACTGTCAGTCGGGGGGAGCTCTCCACCCCCCTAGGCAGCTGATTCCACTACTGGACAACTCTTACTGTAAAAAAATGTTTTTCCTAATATCCAGCTGGAAACTTCCTGTCCTTAATTTAAACCCATTCTTGCGAGTCCTCTCCTCTGCTGCCAACAGGAACGGCTCCCTGCCCTCCTCTAAGTGACAGCCCTTTAAAGGCTGCGGTCACACAGAACATTAGCCACGCTACAGAGACGGAAGATAGGCGGATTTTCCGGATGCGATCAACCCGCAACATCTGGGAAGCGTAGAGCTCCCATGGCTAACCCGAGGCTTCCCGTTTCCAGTGGTAGCTCGTGGCATCCGGCGCCTGCCCATGTCCCGTCGCGAAAAGGTGTTTTTTTTTCAAGTCTCCACGGGATGCGCACAAGCACCCAACAGCGCATGCGCACACTTCCGTTAAAAAAAACAACCCCCACCGCACCGCTTCTTTGCCGCGCAGCAGGATTGACGTATGATTGGCACCTCCCCCCAAACCACGGGACGTCGGCGGGACTTTTGATCCGGCGGCCGCACGGTAGTTCGCTCTGGGGCAAACAGCCACACCTCCCCCCCCCCTGCGCAATAGCCAGCCCGTGTGACCGGGGCCAAAGACTTCAAGACTTCAAGAGAGCCATCCTGTCCCCACTCAACCTCCTCATCTCCAGACTGAACATTCCCCAGTCCCTCACCCTTTCCTCATAGGGCTTGGTCTCCAGGTCCCTGATCATCCTCGGCGCTCTCCTCGGCACCCGCTCCATTCTGTTCACATCCTTTTTGAAGTGAGGCCTCCAGAACTGCACGCAATACTCCAGATGCAGCCTGACCAATGCAATGTACACAGGACTATGATATCTTATGATTTGGATGTCATGCTTCTGCTGATACACCCCAAGATCACATTCACCTTTTTTGTTGCTGCATCACACTGGCTGCTCATGTTTAACTTACAGTCCGCCCTTACCCCAAGATCTTGTTCACACACTGCTACTCAGAAGTATATCCCCCATCCAGTACACGTGTTCCTCATTTTTGTTACCCAGATGTAGAACTCTGCACTTATCCTTGTTAAATGGCATCTTGTTCACATCCACCCACTTTTCCAGCACGTTCAGATCTCCCTGAATTCTATCACTATCTTCTGGTGTGTTTGCTGCTCCTCCCAGTTTGGTGTCAGCCCCACCTACCTCACAAGGTGCTTGTTGTGGGGAGAGGAAGGGAAGAAGGCGATTGTAAGCCATGT